ATGAACCAGTTCCAGATAGTATTTCAGAAATAAAAAATGCAGCAAAAGGTATTTTATCTAATCTCGATATTAGCCTAGATCTATTAACACCAGAAATTTCGCCCAGTGCAAATGGTACCGAAATGAGTGTGATGGTATCCTATTCACATTCTGACGCAACATTTTGTAAAAGACTCGTTTCAAGTTTAAAAGATAAAATAGATGATATATGGGTCGATTATGAAAAACTTGAATCAAACGATTGTTGGGAAGATATTGCAAATGCCATTACACAAGCAAAACTTATTATCATGATTGTAACAGAACATTATTGTGCATCAAAATCATGTCGGCGAGAAGCAATTCACATTGATAAACGAGGCAAAAATATAATACCAATATACCTTTCACCAAAGTATAAACCCGAGGAGTGGTTAGATATTCGAATTGGGAATGCTACATATGTAAGATTTATCGGAGATACATATGATGAATCACTAAGTAGACTATTTGAATTAATTTTTATTAATGAACGAAATTCTACCAAACGTAAGCCGAGTGAGTTTTATCCTTCAATAGATGGAAGAAAGAGATCAACAGTGAACGCGGAAGTAGCATCAAATACATCTTACGGAAATACGGTTGATGATAAACCAGTCGTGATCGAATCTGAACAACAAATTCAACCGACATCACAATCAGCGCAGACACCTGACAGGAAAACACCAAAGTCATCAAGGGGAAATATTCCAAGGAAATTTCGGTTTCCATCAATATCACCGCATTTTTATCAAAAATCCATCCATGATTGGACATCGGACGATGTAAAACAATGGTTTCTTCATGAAAAACTGTCTCTAGCTCTGTGCGAATTATACTCTTTCTCGAATGGTGATGCATTGTTGACTTATACAAAATTAGTTTTAAATGACAAGTCAAAACTGAGTCAAGAATATGATACTATATCTAAACGTTTAGATAATGATGCTTTTTATCGTGATCATTTTGCAAATTTTATTAGTGCAGCTGAAAATTTAATGAGTCAGTTTGATAAAAAGAATATGATTAGAAACACTGAATTACCATCGTGCATTGTGTCGTGATTTCTCTTTTCACTGATTAAGCAATGTAATGCTGTATTGAATGTACTCAAGAAAATAGACAATTTATTTGTACATTATCCATAGATGTATATATTTTATTTATATCGGCAACAAACTTATTCAAAACCAATACGTATACACTGATAGAAGAGTACAGTTATTAAAGTTGTTGATTTAAAAAGCAGTTCCATCTCTGTTAATTTTTTGAATAATAAAACTAACTCTAAACATATCAGTCGGATTTCTCCTCCACTAACGCTTTTTCTGGTTATATTTCTCATCTGAGAAGACCCTTTAATCATATACAAACTGGCCAAGTTTGAGGGTATGTGTAGGGAGGACAGCAAACTATCATTACTTATACTATATATGGAAATTTGACAAAAGCTTCGAATCGCAATCCTAACCAACGAACAAAATTGTATATATGTGAGTGGCAAGCGATATTCAAGACGATACAACGCATGTGTGACGTCCTGAAGCTCTGTAGGGGACATTAGAAAGATAGTCACTTAAAAGAATAATTAACAGTTAAGAAGGCTTGCAAACTAACAACGATAAGGTTTCGTGTATTGTGCGTGGGAGATTAACCCTTTGAGTCCTGAATTTTTTCTGCCGAACCGAATTTGATGAAACTTGGTATAAAGTAACTAGATGACATTATGAAGCATGTGGTTAAATTACAAATAAGAAAGCATGTGACCCGAAGAGGAATAAAACATTTTTGTTATTGTTGTATTTTAATTTAAAAAATTGGTATCGCAATTGCTAAAACATTTATTTATTTCATTACTGATACACATAGTTTTTATGATACAACACAAAGACCAACACAACAAAAGTTACAAACTACATTCGTCCTTTTCTGTCTTTCTTTTGTCCTACAATAAGCGCATCGAAGACGATTTGAAACAACTTGCTCATTTCTATTTAGTATCTTCTATTTCCATTAAAGTATGCAAAAGGCGCGGATATCTGACTAATTGGCGACACTAAGTTGATGTCAATGGTGCTGCTGAAATTGTCGTTTGATTATCGGGATAGTCAAACTCAACTGAAGGCGAACGTGGCAGTATGATTGTTGTCGCTGATGTTTTGATCAATTTCTCTCACCGAATGACACGGGGATCGTAAGGATAGATGCACAGTGGGCATCCAGGCGGAAATTAAGTGAGAAATCGAAGTTGCTCCTAATTCAAATACAAATAGTGGAAAATGTAGCCCTTTCAAACGGCTATTGAATGGTATATAAATGTCTATTTTGAAAATGGTTCCTACGACGAGAAATCACGGTACACAAAACCGATCACGGATATCGTTACTACATACGAAATACAGATTCTTTGCTTACTCAATTATGGTACGCGATTTCAAAGCAGATATTCAGAACCAGCACGTCTTCAGCTATCTATTGATAACAAAATATTTCTATTTAGGCGCCGAATTCAGTAAGTAAGAGCGACATGTTCTCCATCACGTCAGCCCGTAGTAACAGTACTCCAGTATAGTCGGGTCGCCCTAGTTAGCCCCACGCGAAAATAACATTCAAACACATCAGAATGATAGTTTGCTGTCCTCCCTACACATACCCTCAAACT